CGCAGAGCTCAGTCCTCAGACCTGTGCTCTTCAATGTCTTCATCTGTGACTTGGATGTGGGGGTGACGTGCACTCTGTCCAAGTTTGCAGATGATACTAAATTGTGGGGTGAAGTGCACACCCCGGAGGGTAGGGAACAACTGCAGGCAGACCTGGACAGGCTGGAAGAGTGGACAGTACACGATAGGATGCAGCACAACAAGGACAAGTGCAGAGTGCTGCACCGAGGGTGCAAAAATATCCAGCACACCCACTAGCTGGGACCCACATCTACTGGCTGAGGGTCCTCTCGGCAGCACAGACGCAGAAAGGGATCTCGGAGTCATAGTGGGCTCCAGGATGAACACAAGTCATCAGTGTGACAAAATCACCAGCAAAGCTAACCGCACTTTATCGTGCATCAGCAGATGCATGATGAATAGATCCAAGGAGGTGACCCTTTCCCTCTATGCATCATTGCTCAGACCACAGTTGGAGGACTGCATGCGGTTCTGGGCACCGCACTTCAAGAAGGATGTGGATAGACTCGAGAGGGTCCAGAGGAGGCCACTCACATGGTCAGAGGCTTACAGGACAAGTCCGATGAGGAGAGACTGAGGGACCAGGACCTCTTCAGCCTCCACAAGAAAAGGCTGAGAGGTGATCTTGTGGCTGCCTACAAATTCATTAGGGGGACGCAGCAAGGGACTGGAGATGCACCAGGGCGCCTCTTGGGGTAACAAGCAACAGTGGTCAGACTGACAGAGAGCAGATTTAGGCTGGATATCAGGAAAAACTTCTTCATGGTAAGGGTGGCCAAAATCTAGACTGGGCTGCCAAGGGAGGTGGTGCTCTCCCCTCCTTGGGGGTCTCTAAGAGAAGGCTGGGTAGGCATCTGTCTGGTGGCATCTGACCCCAGCCCTTTTTGCTGCCCAGGCAGGGGGTCGGACTGGATGATCTGTCGAGGTCCCTCCTGACCCGAGCATTGATGAACCTGTGAAAGGACGGGTCAGTCCAGGCAGAAGAAGGCAAGATGCCAACTCAGTGCTGGGCATCTCTGCAGCCCTGGGTGCCTGCAGAGCGCCCAGAAAAGCAGGTGAATCCAGACTCCTGGAAAGACCTCAGGACTCTGCCAGAGGGCCGGGATCTCACACAACAGCTCTCAGAGAGGTGCGAGGTGCCCGCGCTCCTCTCCAGCATTCAGCCTGTCTGAGGGCTTTCCACACGTCCCAGAGGATCACGGCACTGCCCTTGCTGGAGCAGGGGAGGACGGGGGTAGGTCTGTGCCCTGGCTGGAGATGCACAAGTCAGATCGGAGCATCCTGAGGTTTCCCTCCCTCCCCTCTGGAAATCCCGGTCCCATTCGCGTGGCGTTTCAGGGAAGACGCCAGGTATCTGAAGAGCTCGGAGGGGGTGGGAGGAGAAGGGAGAAGTATTTAAACTGCTAAAAGGAAAACCAATACAACTCTTATTAGCAGCCCTCTGAGCCCTGACCCTGACAAAAGGCTGAGTTAACTGATCAGCGGCACACAACGGGCCCGACGATGGGGAGCTGGGGGCTGCGCATCATCCGCTTGCAGGAAACCCCGCGTCCCGCCACTGCGCCACCTCTGCTGGCAACCGTGCCCACCCCAACACAGCAGCCCAGGGAAGTGCCCACGGCGGCATCTGTGACCTCAAACCAAGGACAGCGCGAAACCTCCTGCGTGCAGCCGGGCTGTCCACTCGGGGACCTCCATCCAGGGCAACAACCAAACACACCCCTGCGGAGAGACAGGCGGCCAACGGCTGCCCCCGTCCCTGTCCCCTTCCACACCACACATGGGGACGGGACGGGACGGGGGGCAGCCGGCCTGGGGCACATCGGGAGGGGCAGAGCAGCAGATCCGGCAGGGAGCACGGAGCAAAAAGCAGAGCGGCAGAGGAGCACGGGGAAGCTCTGCTGGAGGCAGAGGAGCGCAGGGCAGGGAGGAGAAAGCAGACTGGGAGAGAAGGCAAGGAGCAGAAAGAGGACAGGCAGGGCAGGGAGCAGAAAGCAGAGTGGGAGAGAAGGCAAGGAGCAGAAAGAGGACTGGCAGGGCAGGGCAGGGAGCGGAAAGCAGAGTGGGAGAGAAGGCAAGGAGCAGAGAGCAGACAGGCAGGCCAGGGAGCAGAAAGCAGAGTGGGAGAGAAGGCAAGGAGCAGAAAGAGGACAGGCAGGGCAGGGAGCAGAAAGCAGAGTGGGAGAGAAGGCAAGGAGCAGAAAGAGGACTGGCAGGGCAGGGCAGGGAGCGGAAAGCAGAGTGGGAGAGAAGGCAAGGAGCAGAAAG